GACGAGTGCCGAGTGAGTGATGGGGGAGCAAGTGCGTGCATGTTTGCAGTGAGGGTGGCTGATCGGCGGGAACGAGACACTGTTATCGCTGGCAGCATCGGGTCAGGCTGCTGCTAGCTGCCAGTAGTCCAAGAGATGGACGGAACCATGTCCTTGCTCCGTCTCGACGCCGCTTTCTCAAACTGGACCTCTCGGCGTGGTCCTTGGCCCAGTCCATGACTATACAGTACCTACATATTTGGCACCATGTCGAACCAGACCATAGTAAACCATGCCGTGACCGTCTGGGACAACCACCTCGCCATCGGTGTGTCCAGTGTCCGTCCGTATCCATGTTTCTCTGTCCCTGCCGACCACCACCCCCCCTCCCCAGCCAATACAAACTTGCTGCGGCCTGCACCTCGACCTGTGACCCTCTGACTGACTGACTGACTGTCCGTCCACATGTGGCTATCGACCGCCGGCCGCATCTTTGCCTCCCCTCGTCTCGTCCCTTGGTTCAGCAGCGTGCAGCGTACAGCGTACAGCGTTCTGAGCCCAGTCTGTCTGTACCTCTGCCTCGATCTCCTGCCAACGCACGGCTAATACACGCTGGGTGTTGCTGACTCTCACCATTCACCAGTACAATATCCACCCGTCCACCCCGTCCCGTCAACCCCCCTTCCATCCAACCACTCGGTCATCCCCTGGCCAAGCGGGAAGCCTGATTAAGCCCGAGGTGAGGTGATCCATCCTCAGACGGGGGTGTTGTGTCGCGTCCACTGCGGCGGCCGTCCTGCGACGGGATACAAATGCAGAAGGGACCGCTCTCCTGCACTTTCCCAACTGCCAATCGCCCATTCCTTCTCCCTTGTGCCCATCCGTGCTTGCCTCGCCTCACTCTTGTACTTCCTCCTCCCGTTCCATCCATGAGGTGCTCCTGCCGCCTTTTTCCTCCTCATCCCAGTTTCTGTCACGCTGGTTGACCTCACTGCTCTCCTCTTCAGTGATTTTACCTCACCGCCGGTGCTTGGTGCCTCCGTCAGCTTCTGCTCATTCTCCGCTCACCTAATCGCTTCTGCCTGCCTGCCTGCCGACTACTACTCAACCCGATAGATAACCACGGGCTCAACACCCACGCCTTCCTACCTTATTCAAGACTGCTCAAGCAAGAAGCAAAGCCATCGTCTTAGCGAGCGACAGCCTTCCAAACCATCGCTTCTGTTCCGATTGAACAAAGAATCGGCTGACAGCTGCTTACCTGTATCGTTTTGACTTCGAGTCTTCAAGCCGTGTAGCCCAACTTCATCCCTTCAGACAACGTCCCGGTCGGAGCTGGCCGATCCTGCCTGGGTGCACACTCAGCTGACAAAGTCATCGAAAGAGGGGAAATTGGGCAAGGGAGCTGGACTTGAGGTGGACAAGCGAAAGAAAAAGACTAAAGGCTCCGAAACAAAGAGGGTCAAGCAGGCACAGCCTGGACGACCGACCGACCGACCGACGAGCCATACGCGAGACACTGACACCACCCCCCCCCCCTTCTAAAGCTCAGAGGCCCCCAACCCGAGCAAGCAACGAAAGACAAGATCCAGGGAAAAGAACCCTCTCCCGGTCCGGCATTTTGGGTCCCGATTCTGTTTGCACCCATTCCCAGCGTCAATGAGCCAAATATCTCCAGTCGAAGAGCTCTGAAGCTGAAGCTGCAGTGTTCCAGCCGGTCCAGCCCAAGCAAGCCAAGTAAAAGGCTGCTTTACTTGTATTGGTCCTTCGTCGCATTTCAGGCTCGCCTGGATCCCTCCCACCTCACATCACACGTCACACGTCACCTGCACCTTCACTTCCGCCTTCACCTGCGAAACGGATTAAAGAACAATAGCGCGTCAGAAGTCAAAGTTATTACTACCAACGCTACCCCCCTCACTTCCAGGCACATCGTCACACTTGGGCGCTTACAACTCTTTTTTGCCCAAGCCATTCCATGATTACCTAGCTTGCTGGTTGCGCCCGTCCTCATACCACGACAATCATCCCATCCTCCTAGACAGAAAACGGCTTCGATTATGGACCATTTGATGGATTGGGAACAAGGCTCACCGCGCCGCCCACCGCCGCAATGTCCAGCCATGAGGGGTTATGGCGGTCGGCCTCCTTCACAATACTATGATCCCGTCCATCACGCATCGGCAAGTTGGTATCCCCACCACAGGTCGACCTCCGCCTCGGACCCGTCGTCATGGGCCCCACAAGCTGCCATGAACAACCCCTTCGCCTACCAGCTCGGCCCCGGACCGGCCCCCGGATATCCTACGAGCATGAACACGAACATGAGTGCTCCTTATTCGCCGTTCGGCCCTCCCCCGATGGATAACATGAATCGGCATGCACAGATGCAGCAGCCGCAACCACCTCCGCATCATTTGCCGAACCCTGTTAATACGGCTGCGCCGCCGACAATGTACTCAGAAAGGTCATTTTCGGGCATGCCAGCCAGCCCACGAGGCATGAACTATCACTACCAAGCATCTGCTGATTCGCCTGCGGAGAGTTCAAACCATGGACCGCAGGAACTGCAAACGCGTGCGCCGAACTCCAGCCACACAATACAGTTCGGCACCGCACCCGCATTTTCCTCGCAGCGTCCGCCAGCAACCTTTGTGCCTCTTCGCTCCCGGGTTCCCCAAGGTAAGCAAGAATAACACGTCATGCCCTAACTTCTGCCGCCAAGCTATATGGAGTGGTGGCTCCCCATCTTTTGCTCTTGCTGCGGCAACTAACACTTTCATAGCCTCCCCGTCTGACGCAAGGTCGCCTATCGTTTCTGGACCATCCGCGGCGCAATCCGAACGCCAACCCGAAACACGGCGTCGTGCAGCCAGCGGCAGACGGGCACGTGGATTCATGTCGTCACGACTTTACCCGCCAGCGTCAGATGGCATTGGTCCAGCGGATGGGCTTTTGGGACACTACTTAGGGCGAGATGATGACGAGGACCTACGGGTGACCCAGCTATTGCGCGGATCGATTCGTACGAAACAGGTCGTCTCTTCTGCCGCAATTCGGTCTCTTCAGAGCGTGCCTCTCTCCGAACTGGAACCCCATGAGATGAGTGAGTTGATTCCTAAATCGCCAAGTGGCACAGATAGACGTGGCCCACGGAACTAACGCGATGTCAGCCTGCGTCATCTGCTACAACGACTACGGTGTCGAGACGCCAGAAGGATTCAAAGAAGCACCGCTCCGGCTGCCCAAGTGCAAGCACGTTTTCGGAGACCACTGCATCAAAAAGTGGTTCGAGGATTCAGACAGCTGCCCGTATTGCCGAGACAAACTGCAATCTGAGCCGCGGGTGACCGCAGGACCACACCAAGAGTACATCCGCGAGATGTTGCGTGCCCAGGGACGAATCCCCAGAGGGGTACATACCATGACGGCATCTTCTGTGGCAAGGGCTTTAGTCGCTCAGCAGCCAGGCATTGCCGAGAGGAACCCAACACAATCGCAGGCACACGGCTCAGGACAAGAGCGACGATCACCGCCCACGGATGATGATGAGAGCCACCGACGACAGCGCCCGCGGCACACATCCTGGGGCTCGGGACTCACAATGCAGCAGCAGCAGCAGCAGCAGCAGCAGCAGCAGCAGCAACAGCAGCAAAGTGCAACAGGGCGGCCTGGAAGCATGACTGATATGCCACAAGAAGCCGGCACTGCAGAGGGTCATTGGCTCGCAGGATCACACACACACCGCGCAGTAACGCCGCCGGCGATGCCGAGCCTGGCGGGCGGGCGAGGGTGGATACAGCAGGCACCGGAGCCGAACCAGACAGGGGGCTGGACAGGTGCGCCATTCGAGACGAGCAGACCGTTTTACGGGTCGCTCAACAGCCGGTGAGGAGGACGACAATGGAAGGGGCGAGATTGGATGACGAAATTGTGTTTTCTTTGGGATTTGTCTACAGTGGACAGAATGCGGGCGTTGGGGCGTTTGGGACTTCGGGACGAGCCAGGCACAGAGCGAAAGCAGAAAGAAGGCAGCTCGGAATGGAATCCCTTCTCACAGCAGCGTACTGAGGTGGTCATGAAGGGGCATAGCGACACGAATACGATTTTCGTACATCAACCAAGCCAGCAAGGTGCTCCCGTCTGGCTACTGAGTGTTGGGTGCCAGCCTGCAAGGTGCTGGCCATGTTCCGCTCGTCTTGTGCTGTGTTGTGTGTGTGCCAGGATGCTCGACGAATGATGTATGGATGACCTGACCTTACCGTTAATGGCAAACCATTCGAAGGTCCAATGCTGTGCCGTGCATTGCCAACAGCTTGTGGGGGGGACCTTGACCATGTTCGGCCATGTTTGCTTGTCCCCTCTTGGTCAGTGGTCAGGCTCCATGCCGTGTCGAGAGTCGGGCGAAAGGTGCTCCGACACCTTGACCTCCGCGTGTCTTCCTAAAACTACCTAGGTGCTGGAGACATGGTCCCTATCCGCCCCCCCCCCCCCCCTGGATCCCATCATCAACAAGCGAAAGTGGCCAAGTGTCAAACAACAGCGGGGTGGCGTTACAGGGGGCTGCTGTTTCCTCCCGACAAGCTGACGACAGCCTTGGGCGACAGGTGACTTGGTCACCATTCTTCCACTTGGCGTCCACATCCTTAGCGACCGTGTTCTGCCTGGCCGGCGTCCGGAATGCACTGTTCTCCCGAGTGTCACTTGTCCAACGGAGAAGGAGCGTTCTCAATGAGCGCATCATCGAGCATTCGGGCGTTAGGGCGGCAACCACCACCCATCCAAGGCACCTACCCTACCCTGCCTTGCCTGACGGTATCTGGGTGCCTGCGTCTGCACCTACATTTATCTACATCTACATCTACGCCTGTGCCTGCCTCTTCGTGGCCATAAAGCAAGCACACACTCGGCAGGTCCCCGCCCACGCACCTGCCTGCCTCTATCACTGTCGCCGTCCCTCTCGATTTCTTCCTTTCCGACAAGGCCAACCAGAAACACCAGGCTCAACGGCTGCCTGCGCCATGGGACTCCCCTGGCGCCCCATCTCCTGGGCTTCGCTCGTCATCGCCGTCTCTGTCTCTTACCAGCAGCCCGGTTTCTCACGCCAGTTGTTCCTAGGGGCCTTTGCCAGCTCATGGCTGCTGTCGTTTCTAGGGTGGGTCGTCTGGGCCATCTTCCTCTGGCCCAAACTGTTCTCTTCACTGCGAAGCCTGCCTGGGCCCAATGATGACCACTGGCTCATGGGCCAATTCCCAAAGATTGGCGCCGAGGCCACAGGCTTACCCATGATGGAGTGGTAAGTTCCCCCTTCGCGAAGCTGTGAGAGAGCAAGGCTAGAGGAGAGCTTGACTGACAGTAGGCCAGGGTGAACACCATCCCCCATGACGGTATCATTCGGTATCTTGGCTTCCTCAATCAGGAGCGTCTCCTCATTTCCTCACCCAAAGCGCTTTCTGAGGTTCTCGTCACACGCAACTACGACTTTGAGAAGCCGAGTTCCATCCGTTGGTCTCTTGGTCGTATCCTCGGTGTCGGCGTCCTCCTGGCCGAGGGCGATGAGCATCGCTTCCAGCGCAAGAATCTCATGCCCGCCTTCGCCTTCCGCCACGTCAAGGACCTCTACCCGGTCTTCTGGAACAAGGCCCGCGAGGGAGTGGCCGCCCTCTCCGAGCACGTCTCCAAGGCTGCCGCCGCTCCGGATTCTACGGGTTCCACTGTCGTCGAGATCAGCGGCTGGGCCTCTCGCGTCACACTCGACATCATTGGCATCGCCGGCCTGGGTCGCGACTTTGGTGCCGTGCGGGACCCCAACAATCCTCTCACCAAGACGTATGAGTCCGTGTTCAAACCCAACAAGCAGGCCCAAATCCTCGCCATCCTGGGCCTCCTCCTACCGGGACCAATCGTCAGCGCTCTGCCTCTCAAACGCAACGGCGATATTGCTGAGGCCTCGGCCGTCATTCGCGCCACCTGCCGCGAGCTCATCCAAGAAAAGAAGGCCAACAAGACTCGCAGCACCGACATACTGTCCGTGGCCCTCGAGAGCGGCGCCTTCACCGATGACAACCTTGTCGACCAGATGATGACCTTCCTCGCCGCCGGCCACGAGACGACCGCGTCGGCCATGACCTGGGCCATCTACCTGCTGTGCCTGCACCCTGACGTCCAGTCTCGCCTCCGCGACGAGGTCCGCCGCAATCTCCCCTCCCCCAACGACGCTGGAACTTCCGTCTCGGCCCCCGACATTGACCGCCTCCCCTACCTGTCCGCCGTCTGTGCCGAGGTCCTGCGCTACTACGCCCCCGTCCCCATGACCCTGCGCGAGGCCGTCCGCGATACTACTGTCGACGGCGTCCACGTCCCGCGGGGCACACGCATCATGCTCTGCCCGTGGTCCGTCAACAAGGACGTTTCACTCTGGGGCCCCGACGCTTCCTCTTTCCGACCCGAGAGGTGGCTGGGCGCCGGCTCCGGTAGCGGTGGCGCCAGCAGTAACTTTGCTTACATGACGTTCCTGCACGGGCCGCGGAGTTGCATCGGGCAGGGCTTTGCTAAGGCCGAGTTCGCCTGCATACTAGCTGGCTGGATCGGGCGGTTTGAGTTTGGGCTCGCGAACCGGGATGAGTATGACGAGAAGAAATTGGAGATCAAGGGTGGTGTCACGGCGCGGCCGGCGAAAGGTTTGCGGGTGCACACGCGTGTCGTCCCGGGATGGTGAGCCGTTTTGAGATATAATGCTCTTTGGATATAGATCAGGCATGTACGAAGGAACGTCAGTACATAGCGTGGCCACGCACAATACATACACAACCTCCAACAAGTCAAATGCCCCCTTGGCATGACTAGATAGCACGAAACGAGCCGGCCTTTTATTTAACGGCATTTATTGTAGAAATCTATCGTCGGCATGCTCCGCACATGTGACTATCATTAATCGTGACCGTGGCACGTTTGGCCTCCCGAAGCCGTGCCGTCCGTCGTCCTCCTCCCAGGGACGACACCCTGATTGTTCTTTTCTCTATAACCTATCACATTCTCACGCTCATCCGCTGCGCTTCCCGTCCGCTCCCCGTCTTCCCGCTCGATGTCCTTTTTGTTGGGGAGGATGCAATGCCTCCATAGCCGGCGCAGGTTACGCAGCCTGGCACAACACCCGAGCAATATCAGCAGAGAATGTCTCGTTCTCCCATCTCTTCCCTTCCGCGCCATTTTCGTCCGAGAGGGGAGGGGGGGGGGAGGAGGCAAGTAATCCTCCGTCGGCGTGGCACTCGTTCGAGAAGAAAATGAAGAAAACAAAAAAAAAAAACCTTTGAATCTGGCTCGATTTGGGAGGGAGCACAACCTCCTGCACGCGGGGTGCAATGTTGCTCTGTCGTTCTCTTCCCGTTCCCCCACCCCTCCCCGGTCCAATGCGCAACGCTGTTTGAAGACAAAACGCAGACGGAAAGAAAAGAGTTACAGGCGATCAAATCTGAAGGGGGGGAGGGCAGAGGGCAGAAAGCGAGAGAGCCGCGCCGGTCGTCCGGCTGAACCGGGGGCGGGAGCGCTCTAGCACATCTTGTAGGTGGCGGCGCCCTGGGCGGTGCGGGTGGCGTCCGAGGTCTGGAGCTTGTAGTCGATGGCGATGTCGAGGTCGCGGCGGTTCTTCTCGTTGGGCTTGACGTCGATGGTCATGTCAATCTCCTCGCCGTGCTGGACAGTGAGCATCTCCTTGAGGTAGAAGACGGTCTGCTTCCAGTGGGTGTATTTTGTGTGGGGGCCCGTGGAGAAGCGGATGGGCTTGTGGGCGGCGGTGAAGTCAATGTCGAACCAGGCGACGACGGCGTGCACAAAGTCGTCGCGGCGCACGGGCAGCTTGAAGGTCGTGTTGAAGGCGAGGTCGGAGACCTGGCACTTGTAGAGGTCCAGTGTCAGGATGGGCACGGGCTCCGTCACGACGGCCTTGACCTCGACCGTGTCGACGAGGGGCTCGGACAGCGCCGTGGCCTTGAGGGGGGAGTAGTTGAAGCCGTACACGTTGTCCCAGACTGCGAAGAGAATCAAGAATCAGTAATGCTCGCACAGGTTGAACTTGCAGGCGGGGCGCTGCTACTCACAGCCAATCTTCTCGTCCTTGTACTCGCCGTCCTCGATGCCGGCGGCGAAAATGGTGGCCTTGTCGGGGAAGATGAGGCCGTCCTTGTTCAGGTAGGTGTCACGAGCGTAGAGGACCGTGTCGAGCATGCTCTCGTACAGCAGGAAGTAGCCCATCCACTCGGAGATGATAATGTCGACCTTGGGGAAGGGGAGCTGGACCTCCTCCATCTTGCCCTGGATGAGGGTAATCTTGTCAGAGAGGCCGTTGACCTCAACGATCTCGCGGGCCTTGTGAATAATGGTCGACATGTCAACACCAATGACGTGCTTAGCGCCGGCCTTGGCGGCGAACCTGGTAATGGGATTTCTCGTCAGAGCTTTGTCGCAAAAAGGTTGCGTGGTGAGGGACCCGAAAGGGACGTGGTAAGGGAGCGCGGGGTCGATCGAGTAGGCATGAACTCACATGGACAGAATGGCAGTGCCGCAGCCAACGTCAAGGACGACCTTGTCCTTGAACAGGTGCTTGTTCTGAACAATAGCGTTCATGTAAGAGCGGGTGCGAACCTCGTCTTTCTGTACGGAGGGTCCATCGTCAGTGACATGGAGAAAAGGAGGGGTAAGTCGCATGGGTGCATACCAGCATCTCCTCGTGAATGCCTTTTAGAAAGTAGCCATGTTAGTCCATCTGCAACAGTGTGATCGTGAAGCCTCGATTGACATACCATGGTGGTCGTAACTGGGAAAGTTGTCAGTAGAGTTCCTCTGGCGGCGATGCGGTCGAGCAAAACATACCTCTTGAAGTAGTGCTGCTCAGAGTGCTCCATACTCTTGAGCTTGGTCTCGGGATCGACCTCCATTCTCTCGGCAGCCATGATGATATGTGTGTTGAGTGCGTGTGCGACAAGAGACGGACAAAATTTGAACGGACTCGAGAAGGGCGGGCGGGTGGAAAGAAGGGAGGAACAGAGAGTCGCAACGAAAGCAATTTGCAGGTGCAGATAGAGGAGGAAAAGCAGGATCGCGCGAGTCGGTCAAAAGCCCAGGCTGTTTTCCGCTTCTGTCTCGTTTCGTTAGGCAGAAAAAAAATACTGCCAAAGGCCGCGCCCACACCGCCTGGACCCTTTTCCAGCTTGCCACCCCGCTTTCGTACGAGGGAGGAGGGGAAGGTGAAGCAGGTACGTACCTTGCTGTCGTTCGTTAGGAACCCCACCCTGACCGCCTTATCGATAAGCCGTCTGTCCATTCCTTCCGTGCTGAGGCAAGGCAGCTTCAACGATCGTGTTTCGATCACTACCTACTACCTGATCACTTTGTGACACCATATGGAATGGCCGTGTTTATCATCGCTCTCATGCATACTCTCACCAGACGTCTCGGGCAGCTTGCCCTTCAAGAATGTAATCCGCCTCGCGCTCACAGTCACTGGACCACACGATCGCGGTGGCCGCTGGTGCACAAAACTTCCACATGCCCTGCCAAGACGGAGCCCAAACCACGGCTCACCACCGCCAGGGACAGGATCTCCTTTGGGGGTTCTTTGAGTTTGACGTGATGTCATTCGAAGAAGTGATCTTACAGGTTCCTTGGAATTACATGAGACGATCAAGTCCGACGACTGCCACAACACTGGGCGGCTTTCTTCACTGCTGCAGGATTGAATGGCACAATCTACGTCGGGCAAGGGGACATGGGACATGAATTCAATTCTCTCTCTGCCCGGCTACGCCATGGACTGGACTGGAGCTCGACAGATTGGCCTTGAGTCTTAGCCCGCACAACCCTGTTCATGTTCGTGCTCCATCGAACGCTTCAGTTATGTGGCCACCGTCTGTACTTGGAGAAGGCAGCCTACCTTGTCAAAGGCTGCTGGCCGAATACCGAGTATCCGGCTCGCCTTGCCAAATCTTCAAGCTCTAGCAAGGCAATGCCAACACTTCGAGCGGAGTCAGCAATCAAGCAGCATTCCGCACGCTCGAGTTGTGAGGGTTCGGTGTCTCTTCCTGATTATTGGAGACTGGGAATTATAGGTTATGGTTCCCAGCCCGGGAGGCGTCCCAAAGGACAGGTGAGCAATGAGAAACATCCTCAGCACGTCGCACTATTGTAAGACCGTGTGGTACTTGAACTACATTATGAAAAATCAGGTCTAGAAAGCTCGTGACGTCCTTCGGATGCCTAAGATGTGCTTCTTTCTTTTACTGCGACATCAAGAAATACGCGACAGCATCTTCAACTTCTGGAATGAGATTGTAGACTGAGAATACGACGCCGCTCACGAGCTGTCAGATCCGCAGGTGCTGTAGATGCTGAGATTCCGCATCTCGGGGATACAACTATTCAAGCCAAAGAGGCTAAGAGGGAGCAGCGCGAAGACGAACTGGCAACATGCCAGCAACTCGCATCTTGCCCAGATGTACGGAGGCCCTACCAAACGAAAGATCCATCCTGAGCGGCGTTGTTAGAAGCCTCTGCAGGTCACTTTCCGCCTGTCGAATGATCCCTAAGATGCCATCTTGTGGCTTCGTAACCGTCTGTGCCCCTCTTTAAAGGCTTCTGACTGGTTGCCATCGGACCTCTTCACACTCCCAGGCTTGATACGGGCGAACGGCATCGATGGCCGATTAATCAGTTGGAATGACGAAAAGAAGTAAGCACGTTCATGAATTGAGTTAGACAACAAAGCGAAGAAGGGTATCCCGAATGCGAGAAGCGCCGAATGCGAGAGCCGCCTTGGCTACTCACTTGTCTTCCGCTCAATCGCCTTCTGGCACCTGACTGAGCACAATAGCCTGAATGGCAAACGGCCCAGACTCCGGCGCCGACTGTAAGGGCAGGCCACGAGCCTGACGAAATCCAGCCAGTAGTGCTATGCTACGAAGACAGGCCTTCGTGCTCAAGATCCGGCCACTGGAACTTTTGTTCGAGCTGGGGGAACCCCTGCACTCCAGTTCCTACGCTTCAGCCGACCGAGCCAGAAGTGCGGGACTCGGCAGCCGCTGTGCCTCCGCCATTTGGCGCTGTGCCTCACGATGCTCGCCAGCGCTACGGTAACAGGATCCAAAGGCTTCAAGCTAAGTGCGGCGCTCGCAGGCTGATCGCCAGCTGCCTAGGTCCGACAACTGACATGCGCGCCGTATATATGTAGCTTGCCACATGCCACATGGCTGAGCTCTTTCTGGAGTCGCAGCAGCATGTTTTCCTGCATCGCATTCCTCTTGCCTTATTGACTCTGGGAGGCTCGGTACGAAAATGGTCAAGCTCAACGCATTTGTGTTCGGCCTCGCCTTACGGCATGCTGTGGCCGCGGAGCCGCCGTCGAAGGTAGGGTCCGCGCGAGGTAGACTCACCATTCTCGCACACAACGACCTGGAGAGTAAGTCTATGCAGCATGGTCCTAGAAATTGAAGTCGATGATGCAGACCTGACACGTCACAGATGAGCCCTCGCCAGGATCGGGTGCCGTCCTGATCGACCGTGTTCAGGACCAAGCGTCTGCTTTGAAGGCATGCGGTCAACTCAGTGAGGCTCTCTGGTCTGGCGAGGGCGACGAGTTGTCCTTCGCCAGCCTCAAGACATCCCTGGCATATGAAGTGTATCAGAAGAACTACCCTTCGAACACCAAGTTCTGGATCGCAAGCGGAGACGGCTGCAAATGTCGTGCCATTGGCACCGATGGCTCACTGCACCATCAAAAGTGCTCTGATCGCCTGCCTGTGCTTTGTAGCCAGAGCGCGCCGGTATCGAGCGCCACGGCCGATGATACATCATCGAGCTTCCAAGTCACCCAAAAGGTCGGGGACGCGCAGTTTACCGGATATCGAGACTTTTACACATGGAAGTTTCGCGGTGTCAGATACGCGCCGACGCCCCAGAGGTTCGATTACTCCACCACACTTCGCCCGAAAGGTTCCATCTCGGCCCTGACAGCAGGAGCCGACTGCCTCCAGCATAATGCCCCCGGTTCGAGCGACGACTGCCTTTTCCTGAACATCTGGACCACATCTCTGCCTGCATCGACTGGTGGCAGAACCCAGGCCAAGCCTGCATTGAAGCCCGTGTTGGTCTACATCCATGGAGGAGGTTACGTCGAAGGATCGGGCAAGAATGGAAACCTCGATCTTACCAACATTGCATCACGGGGCGACATCGTTGCCGTGTCAATCAACTATAGACTCGGCAACACTGGCATGATTGCGTTCAACGACGGCATTCACAAGGGAAACATTGCCCTGGGCGACCAGATCAGTGCTCTGAAATGGGTAGCCGAGAACATCGCCGCCTTTGGTGGCGACCCAGATCGGGTGACCATCTCGGGCGAGTCGGCGGGCGCCATGTCCGTCCGCAACCTTCTCACATCCCCCGAAGCCCGCGGCCTGTATGCCGGCGCTCTCTTACAATCAGATGGCCAAGGTGGACCTTTCCAGGTTACCGCAAAGTTTGCCACTGTGGACGTATCCTACAAGACCTTCACGCAGCCTATCTTGGAAGCTGTCAACTGCAACGGCACCAAGGACGAGGTGGCCTGCCTCCGCAACGTGCCGGCCCAGCAGCTGGCGAACCTCCCGGTGACAGCGAACGCCCCCGTCATTGACGGCAAGATCCTCCGCGCGCCGTTCCTCGCCCTCGACGGATCCGGCCCCCGCTACGCGAGGGATGTTCCCGTCCTGACCGGCGTCACGCGCGACGAGGCTGCCATCTTCATTCCGCTGCTGCAAATTGACTGGTCGACGCTCGACTTCCCAACCTGGACGGGCCTTCTATACGCCGCCCGCAGCATCCTCGGCATCGACCCTGACGCCATCCTCGCCAACCTGCCGCTGTGGGGCGTGGACCCCTCCTCGACGGGCGAGCAACTCTTCAACGCCACGACCGAGATCCTGACGCTCAACTGGTTCACGTGCCTGGACCGCGCGACGGCCTACGCAGGCACCAAGAACGGCGCCTTCGCCAAGACGTACGCCTTTAACTTTTACCGCACCTACAGCCCGACGACGTACACGACAGACGAGTGCAGCGCCGCCGTCACGCCGGCGCACCCGCTCGGCGACCCGAGCGAGGAGTACTTCCGCTGCCACGGCGGCTCGCAGCTGACCATGTTTGGCAACTACAGGCGCGTGGGCCTCGGCGACCGCGACGGCCGCGACCAGGACTTCAGCCGCCTCGTGCTGGACTACTGGGCGTCCTTCGTCAGGAGCGGGGACCCGAACCCGGCCGAGTCGTTCCTTGCTGCTAGGGGGTATAACTCGACGCTGGCCGAGGTGAAGAAGAGCGGCGAGTGGAAGGAGGTTGATCCGGAGGCGCCCGAGTGGATGATCCTTGAGGAGGACAGCTACATGGCTCCCTTTGGAGAGGCCGACAAGTGCGCTGTGCTGGGGCAGCCTTTGGACTATTGGGAGAACACGACGCGTCGGGCCTAGTTCGTGGACTTGTTCTGTCATAAGACGACAAAATCATTAATCTTAATGTCTGCTACTCTCCTCACAGGAGCGCTTCCTCCCGATATCCGTGATGTCTAGACTCTACACTTGGGCCACACCGTGCAGTCTCGCACATGAACCTGGGTGCCTCATTTATATCGGTCTCAGATGGACATGGCGTCAGCGGTCGTGATGTACCGCTCCGTTGGTTGCAATGCAACAGCAAAGGGTACGTGGTGTAAGATGTGGGTTTCACATGCATACAGAGCAGCATCTACTTCACATCGACCCCTCCATCCAGGTTGCACACAACATCACACGCAAGCGACTGCGACGAACTCATCTTGGAATTCTTCACGAATTTGTTCTACCTCCGCATCCTAGTCCACCCACGTACGGCCAGGACCCAGCTCGATTGATCACTGACTTCCGCTCATCCCATTGGCACGCCCCAAAACGTCGCCTACATAACGAACAAAAGGTTCGTGTCTGTCGCATAGTGTCAGCGCGAAGGAACCGGCAAATGGCACTTGGAAACAACGTACCCATCGGGTGACTGCTCGAAAGCTGCGGCAGCTGACTGTACGAGCCCTCTAGGATCTCTCTGATGCTGTTGAGCAGCTCAACGTAGCTTTGCTGCGGGTTGGCCTTGAGGGCGGAAATGAAGGCATGTGACATAGCGCCAGTGGCCTTGTTGGCGATCGTGGCGTCCGCGCTGTGCTGGATGTCAGTACAAACTTGACCCTGAGAAGAGTCTCCTTGAAAAAGGAAGTATACTCACGAAGTCTGGTCGTCCTTGCTGCCGGACCACATGATGACATCGGCAGGCGACGTGCGAGTCTGCTTTGTTTGCTCGTACGCATCGTCACCATTCATGGCCTTCTTACCAAAGTCCATCAACGAGCTGAACACTCCACTCATGTTGCCGCTAGCATACGCCGTCACAGCGCTCAGCAGGCCCTGTCCTGCTTCCTTGGCCAGATTAGGCTCCTTCAGGACTCCCTTGGTAGAGTACACATAGGGCAGGTCGAGAGCAGTACCGGAGTGGCATGAGTCGAAAATGGCGGTCAGACGCACGCCGGGCAAGAGCGGCTTCACCATGATCGAATGCATCTCGTCGTCAACAATGTGGACCGGCCTCCTTATGGTCGACAGGGTAGATGACCTCGTCAACGCCATCGGCCTCATCACCGGTCCAAATCTTCGGTGTAGCCGCCATGACCTATACCGCGTTAGCCAGTCTCCGCGGGTTTCGGGCTCGTGCAAAGCCCTACCTGTGTTGTGGAAGAACAGGGAATCGTTGGGCTGCGCGCCCTGGACAAGCCAGTGCATAGCCCGCAGTATGTTGTCCTTGATAGGTTGGCCAACAGGGTTAGTCTGGTCATCTGTGAGGATCACCATATCCTCCTTCTTGTAGCCGTAGCGCTCAGTGAGGAATGCCGAGATGTTCTTCACATCATTGATGCAGCCTCGCAGCTCACCATCCTGGTTGAAGTAGTTGATGCCGATGAGCAGAGCCTTCCTTTTACCCGTGCAGGTAGAGTACTGGTAGCCATAGCCCTCTGGTGCACCATGGCCGAACTGCTGGATACCAGATGGCGGAGGTGGCGGGGCTGACCGGTTGCCATGCAGGTAAGAGTTGGAGTTGACGGTGGGCATGTCTGAACAAAGTCAGTAGGGATATCATGGGTTGCTGGGAGAACTCGACCTACGAGGCCTGTTGCTGTCGGGCCTGTTCACAGGATAGCCATAGACATCGAGACCAGAGGGAGGAGGGTAGTTGGGCGGGCTATACTGGCGACTGTAGGCGCGGTCTGGGTGGGCGTCAGGGGGCGCCTGGCCATACCCGTAGTTTCGCCCGCCGGGAGGACCAGAGGGAGGGCGGTAGTCCCCTCTCGAGGGTGGCGGCCCGGGAGGAGCAGCATAGTTCGCTTCAGGAGGAGGTGGGCCAGGCGGCGGACGGTGGTAATCGTGTCCGCCATAACTCTGAGGTGGCGGGGGTCCTGGCGGAGCACCATAGTCGTCCCGGCCATAGCTGGGACGGGAAGGCGGTGGCCCCGGAGGAGCGTCGTACTCATCTTGGTGGTAGCGGCGGGGAGGCGGCGGGCCGGGAGGTGCATCATAGCCTCCGCCGCCACCGTAACCGCCGTGGTTGGCGCCGTAGCCTCCCTGGCCAGGATACCCGTAGGACATGATGTAGGTGTGTAAATGAGTGAGTGTTGTTGGTGGGACGCCGCAATGCGAGTTCCGAAAGACTTCACTGCTGTCTCGCGAGATGAGCACTGGAGGTTGAGGGGCCTGCCTGGATGGACGCCGATCGCTAGGACAGGCGTGTCCAGGATCGATCTGTTCAGGTGCTGGATGGGTAGTCGAAACTCACGTGTTGTGATACCGGAGGTGATGTGTCCAGTGTGAGGTGGACCGGCGGAGACGAGGCGCTCAGCACGAGAAGGAGGGGAGCTAGTTGGCTGAGAGCTTGCTGGCTGAGATGCACAAGTGTCTGCCAAGTCCTGGTCAAACAAGCTTCCTGGACACAAGCAAGGCGGCGTGAGTGAGGGGCAAAGCAACAGGAAAGGGGGATGTCAAGGTTTGTCGAGGAGATTGTCCTGGTAATGATAGGAGGGGTCGTAGGCGGGAGAGTCGGAGGCCTGTGAGGGGTGGAATGATGATGAGGTAGGGGGGCTGCCGTCGTTTGACAAGCAACAGCGCAACAGAGCTGTCGTACCCCTCCGTAGAGGATGCGGGGGCCTGGACCTGGCATTGGCGCGCGCTGAGCTGGCGTGGGAAAGAGCTACGACGGGCGTGGGCAAGGGCAACGGAACGTCGGGCAGGGATTCGAGGGCAAGGACCCTTGGAGGGGTCGTCCGCCTGGCTGGCTATACCTACTATGTACCTACTACAAGGTACCGTACAAGGCGTGGGATGGAAGGAGCGGGCGACTGTGCTGGCAAGGCGCACTTCAGGTCAGTTACACCTGACAAGCCAAACCTGGACAAGGCGTTCCCCCTCCCCCTGGGTTCAAATCTCAGCCCGAACGGAGGTTGGCCGAGGGGGGGTGCTTTCTAGTAAAGTTACTTGCCCCATCTGGTGAGATCAGAGGCAGCCTACCAACTCTCAGATTGCGATTCTGTGGCGGGCCTGGAATCATCACGAGGAGGACCGTCTCGAAACTGTCTGGACCTTGGTGGTGGTGAGGCCGCGTATGCCTGCATGCAAGCGCGATCCCACAATTGACCAGAATGTCTCCATTTTCCCGCCTTTCCTCGGCACCAAACACATAACTTGAAGGATACCATGCACCACCACTTTGGTTTGAGAATAGCCGTTTCGCATCGGACTATCTGCCCCCATGCCGCCACTCTTCGGCCAGCGGGTTGCACATAGGGCTGGGCTGACTGGTGAAGGAAGAGTTGGGATTGGGCACCGCCGCCAGCCTGCCTTGCCTGCCTATCACAAGCAGGAAGGGACGGGCAAAGCTCGCATCTCGCCGGAAATGAGGAGGGCCCCAAAGAAGGGGGGCCCGCCGGAGGGGCGACCCGAATAGCCTCCCCCCCATCTTCTGGGGATAAAGCCAGGGGGGAATTGGGGGGGTTACATTTTTTTACAAAAAAAAAAAAAGGGGGGCCCCCCCCCCCCAAAAACACAATGTTCCCCCCGGGTTTTTCTCCCCAGGCGGGGGGCCCCCCAACCTAGAAAAAATTTTTCTTTGAGGAGCGCTTTCTCATTTTTTCACAAGCCCGCCTTGTTTTAACCCAGAGAAATTTTTTTTTTTTTTTCCCCCATATTCCCCTTCGGGGGGGGGGGGTGGATATTTTTTTCACCCCCCCCCCCCCCCCCCCCCGCGCCCAGCTGTCCCAAGCGCCGAAGCTCACCACGTTTGCTAACCCCGCTTGTTCATAGCCTTCCACCGCCGTCACTAACCTCACCCAAGAGCAATACACCGACCTCAAAGAGGTCTTCAAGATCTTCGTATGTAGTAGTGCATATTTCTTGAAATAGCTTCCCTCCAAGCTGACATGAGCCCACCCACCTAGGATCGCGATGGCACAGGTATGTCTTGCCACACTAGTCACCATGTCCCAGCCTTGCGACGTTGCAACGGTCCCTGCTTCAGCTGGCGCCAGTCATATGCACAGCAGTATTCATGTACACTAACAAAACATGACGCTATCAGGCGACATCAGCCCGAGCGAGCTTCAGATTGCGATGAAGTCGCTCGGTCTTAAGCCAAGTCTTGAAGAGGTCAAGGAGATGATCAGGGAGATAGACACGGACGGTGACGGCCGTATCGATTTTGACGGTCAGCTGCCTCATCATGATCTCGCCATGTCTGATCTAACATGTGCCTCCTGCGCCAGAATTCCTCGAGATCATGGCTGCTCCGGCCCGCCCCGTCGGCAGTACGGAAAACGAACTCGTCGCAGCTTTTGAAGTCTTCGACAAGGACGGAAGCGGTTCTGTCTCCTCTAGCGAGCTGCGCTCCGTGCTCATCTCGCTGGGCGAGAAGCATACCGATGATGAGATTGACGAAATGGTCAAGCATGCCGATCTTGATGGCAACGGCTCCATCGATTGTAAGTTTCGTCATAGCCTTTGCCTTCGAAAGATGGTTGCTGACCCTCCATTCGCAGATCATGAATTTGTTCAGCTCATGGCGCCTAAGAAATGAGAAAACGCTGGAACGGGCAGGAGAGAGCAATTCGTCATCGGCAACAAATCTCCTTGCCGCACTCACTTCGGCAGGTGTCATTTGGAGCCATGGTCATCCCTTTCATCTTTTGTTTTCACAACAAGACCTTGACCGCACGTGCTTATGGTTGATTCGTCCTATATTCTCCGTCTCCCACCGTAGTAGTGGTGGAATTATACGCAAGGAAACTATATTTGACAGAGAGTCGTCGAGTGTCGGTAGTTGTAAGTGATCCGACCAAATGTTGATTGATGCGAATAAGACGAGTTCGAATAATCGCCCTGGTTCCCATGTTTGAAAAGTATTCAGCAGGATGTTAGAACCGGAGCA